TTTTTATTTTTAGTCTTTCTTCTTCTTGTTTTTTTTTTTACCACCAGTCTTTCTTCTCATTTTATTATTTTATCATTCCTGAATTTACATGAAATTTTATTGAATCATTCACACATTTTTACAGGTTTATTTCTGTGAGAGCTTAATTATCACAAATAATGGCCCGTGAACATTGACCAGTAATGTTGAACGTTAAGAAATTGGTGAGGTATTATTGGCTACGAGTATCAAGAATTACGAGAACTCCTGAGTTGTTTTTTTGGTTTTGTCGTTTATTTTTTGCCAGCATATATGAGAATTTCATTGTTTAATGAGACGTGAAGGAAAATCATATAAACTTTCTCATAGCTAACACGATTTTGAAAGAGTTCTCACACTCACAGATCTATAATAAAGTTAGGAATATATGGATTAACTCACAATCTGCAACTAATTTGTAGTTGGATACAAGTCTGTGACATGATAGGTTGACAAAACTAGCATCTTGTGCAAGTTGTATTTTACCATTGTTAGCAGATTGGTGGGGAATAACAAATATTTTTTATATATTTTTTTATTTTAAAATTGTAAATTCACTTTTTTACTTTAGTTTTGTGTGATAAAAAATCATATTTTCTCCCTAAGAATTAATTATTTAAATAACAATAAACTGCTTCTAAATCATTACAAAAAATACAAATTAAAAATACATTAATACAGTTCAAAATAAATGTATATCAATTACAATAAATATATTAAAAAGTTTAATGCAAATCCGAAGTTTGATTTTTTTTTTTTAATGAATCATAATGTTAGAAGTTTTATCAGAAATTGCAATAACATTAATTATGCTAGATCATCTCAATAGATAGTTTTATTGGGGAGATCTAATGAATCTTTAATTGGGCCTGAAATTGTATATGTCCACTAATGTTAATATCTTGATTCAAGATCTTAAAATATCAGGTATATGCACATGTTTTATTCAAACCAGCTATGTCAATAGTGCAATTAGCTTGCTAGAAGACAATTAGTATAGATGTAACTAGATTAGAAGCAGCGAGACTGAAGTTAAAATAAAAATTAATTATTATCACGTACTTTTTTGTTGTCCAAATGAAAATGTATAGAAGTCAATTAGTATAGCTGGGCAACGAAAATTTATTCTTCATGTCTTTGTTGTCCAAATAAAGGCTTTCCATTTTCTAGATAAGGTTGATTAATTTAGTTGTTAATGATTTGTCATAATAACTCGAGTCCAGTCTCAGTTTTGGACGGTCCAGCTTAACAAATTTTATTTTATTTTTTATTTAATAATTATTAAAATAAAAATTATAAAAAATTAATAAACTTATTTTATTATCAATATGGATAATATAAATTTAATCTTATAACCCAATTCAATATTAAAAGTTTTTAAAAATTTTAAAAATTAACCATAACAGTTCAATTTTAAGATTTTACCAAGTTTGACAATTTAGAATGACTTTGTCTTCTTCTTTTTTAAATGGTTAGCTTGCTGCGAGTGTTCACATGAAAATAAGCTCATTTTTTCAATATAATCCACATTTTTGTGTGAACTGATGGGTTAACTTGCAGCCTCAATTAAGGTTGAAAATAGGCTTAGCTCCTATTAAGGGCATACGCTCTAACTTATTTTAGGTTCAACCTAAACTATTTATTAAATAGGTTCAGGTGAAATTTATGTCTTTAATTAGACCTATTTAGTTAAATATATTAAGCCTAATTTTTTAAGGCCTGTCTTAAGAGCTGAATGGGGTATATTCACACACACACACACACACACTCACTCCATATAATATATGACACACTCATCAATTTTACAATTTAATTTTTAATCAATTTATTTTTTAGTTATGTTTTCAATCAAATTGAACTTGTATATTGATTTTAATATTATTACTTTATTATTGTATTGTAATTGATAAGTCATTTTAATTATTATATATTATAATTAATAAATTATGTTATATATTCATATTAATAGTTTTAATATATATTTAAGACATTTAAAACTAAAATGCTACCTTATTTAAAATGTTTTTTTTTAAGTAGGTTTTTAAAAAAGCTTTTAAGTTAGGCCAAGTTTTAGAGAAGCTCATACTTGAATTATGAGAAAAACTTTATATATGTTTTAAATTAAATTCAAATTTTTAACTTACCATGCAAACTCAAATTTATTTAACTAAATTTTAACTTAACTTATTTTCACATCTAAATTTAACCCATATTATCAGCTATATCCGTGTGTAGCTAGCGAGCTTTAGAGGCTGCGTGCAACTTTTTTCGTGCTCATTCTGGTTCCATCTATTCTTCGATCAATTGTACATTCTTGAGACTTTCTTAAGAAGGAAGGGGCGCCAAGCTCCTGTCTAATCACGGTTATGTTTGTGTGTCGGCGTTTTTTTGGGTCAACCTTCCCTAATAATTGCCTCTCATTTATAGTACTGTGGGGATATTTTCGGGAAAACCCTTGCGAAATAAAATTTCATGAGAAGTCATCTCCTACTATAACCATGGGAGAATTTTTTGCAAGAAAATCTCCGCTTTTATAAAACATTTGTGAATCATATCACGTAAATATACATTACTGCTTTCTGTAAAGTTTAATTTTACTTCCTCTCCACTTCCACCTAAGCGCACAATGGCATGAATTAATTATAAAAAATCTATCTAATATACTTTGTTGGGGTCAAACAGAGTCTTGCCGTGACCCACGACTCCAATTGTCAAGTGCAATCCCTTCACTATCTGCTAGACATTGAGCAAGAAATCAACCATTGTTCACTAATCCATTCTAACCCAAATTAACAAATGAGAAAGAAAATTAGTATCGATAGTTTGATGCATTGCACAGGGCTCAAATAGCAAAGATGCAGTATTAAATAAAATGCCATTCTATGGTCATATCATTGCGAGGATGAATGTACGTTTTATGTAGACCTTGATTGCGGGGAAATCTTACAATGTTTTTTCGCCTTGTGGCGAGAAGCCTTGTAGGCATTTTTACAAGGGCAATCCTGGCGAGGATTGACAAATGCGCAAATAGTAAACTAGTAAATACAATAATATTAGATAGAATCTTCCCTTACGAAAGGCGAAGAAAAAGGAATATAAAACCGCGTCTCTATGCAATGACACAGACGAAGTATTTATAGAGAAGAGTTACACATTAGTCAATACTCGTTCGTCATCGTCCGAACTCCAAAGAATGCGAGCATCCGCTGACGGTCTTCAGCGGCATTTCTTAAGCGAGAGAGTTCACCTTTGTTACTCAGGACAGCTCTGTTATCGCTGGTCGCTACCTCCGGAGTCGATTTTCCAAGCTTTGAACGCATGATTCTCCCTCTTGGCTGGTCATCTTGCTCGTGTACTTTCCCTGGGGTTTTGATTTTTGCTGCGACGAGATAGGGCTTCAATATATTAACCAGGTAGAAAGTCTATGCCACTGTATCTGACTGTCAATTAGTTGCAATTTGGTTATTGCTGTCCCAAACTGAAATTTTCTTGATATATGAATAGTTTCAAATATAGACCTTGTAAGTCCATGGAAGGTAATCAAGGTATCGACCCAGCCAGTACTGGTACTGATACTGGTATGCAACTAATCGGTTCCGCAATTTTTTCCTCTCCTGGAGCAACTCTGAGGCCACAAAACCGATTCAATGCTCCCAGCCCCAATTTCAATGCCTCTCAAATGGGCGCGTCTGCGCTTCTGATGCAACAAAATTTTAGTCCTGAGAATCTGAAACCCGGCATACCTCCATCCCACCCAAATATCCCATCTTCGTCACACTATCCCCCAATTTCAGAGTTCCAATCGGCTTCCCAGCAATTGCGTTCTCCGAATATGAGACCTCGTTCTTCCCATTCAAGGTCTTTGTCCCAACACTCATTTTTTTCCCCGGATTGCTTGCCTCCATTGAGTCCTTCACTTTATTGTGAGCCCTCGGCGACCCCTCTTTCTAACTCGATTTCCCCAGACGTGTCCATGGAAGAAAGTGTGGTTAACTCTCATGGCCCTGGCATTTCTATGCCCGTCAATAGGGATCATGCCTTTCAAGCTGGTCCTAGTGTTCTTCCTCGTAAAGGGCACAGGCGCTCCAGCAGTGATACTCCATTAGGAATCTCTGGCTTCGCTCAATCTTCTCCTCAGCTGGTTGTCTCTCCTACTTGGATGAATCTGGAGAATTCAATTTCTAGAGGAGAAAACTCAGGATTGGAGAAGCCAATTCAATTGGTAAAAAAGGAGCTAAAAAAGGATGAGGGTCATGTTGATAGTTACAATGCAAAACCTATGGTTGAGAGGAAAGAGGATGTGATGGATGATTTAATTAGCGTGTATATGAATTTGGACAATATTGATAATGTGAACTTATCTGGTGCGGAAGAATCAAAGACTTTTGAAAGCAGTGATAATGAAGTTGAGAGTCTTGTAAGTGGAAAAACTACCTCCACACAAGGGGCAACTTCGAGCTTTGTGGAGGAAAGGAGGGAAGGAATCAAGAGGAGTTCTAATGGGGACATTGCACCAGGCTCCCGTCATCGGAGAAGTTTTTCCTTGGATAGTTCTATAGGAAATTTGCATATTGGAGATGATTCACCAAAGCTTCCTCCTTTGGGGAATGGAGTTTGTCAGCGCTCACCTAGCAATTCAGCAGATGGTAAAACATTTGAGATCAACATGGAGTTGAGAAATGGTGAATTCACTGAACTGGAGCTAAAAAAAATAATGGAAAGTGATAAACTTGCTGAGATTGCTTCGTCAGATCCCAAACGTGCAAAAAGGTACTATATTTCTTGTTCTCTTCTCCCCTTATTTTATCTCCTATTAAAATTTAACTCATGATAGTTCATATATATTCACCCAGAATATTAGCTAATCGTCAATCGGCTGCTCGATCCAAGGAGCGAAAGGTGCAGTACATTGCTGAACTAGAGCACAAGGTGCAAACTCTTCAGTCAGAGACAACCACAATGTCTACTCAATTTACCACACTACAGGTGGGCACCTTCTAGGATGAACTCATGTCTTCTTTTCCTATTTAACTTTATCAACTATATATATATTTTTTTATGAAGCAAGTTTTCATGAATCATGCTCACAACTCCTGGTTCTGTGTTTTTGCTCTTGTTGCCAGAGGGATAACTCACATCTTAAAAGTGAGAACAGTGAGTTGAAATTCAGGCTTCAAGCCATGGAACAGCAGTCCCAACTGAAGGATGGTTTGTATATGCCCTTTTTTCTCTGCCTTTTGGTTTTAGTTAGCTGAATCTGGCTTCCTATTCAAATTGGATGTTTTTCATGTGTGCTTTCCTGGGAAATATCTTTATATATGGGATGATGTACATTAATTATTCTCTTAAAAGGTTAATAATATTCACTTCATGGCAAAGATTGCCCAACGATAACTCTGCATGCTGTTAATGAGTCAGTTGTGTACTGTATTCTTCCTTAAGGCTTGTTACATGAGCATTTCTGCTTCTTTTTGCCTGCCTGGCCTAGGAACGTCTGCTTTCATCTTGTCAAGCACCTGCAAATTTTGGATTCCAAGGGCATTTTTCTTGGTCAGCAAACTTGACTTTTACCTTCTTGTTTGCTTTGAAGAAGACTCTCTAAGCTGCATTTCAAGATTTCTAGCTTGAATTTATTTTGGCCAAATGTTTATAACTTTTCATTCATCAGTGGACTACATTAGCTTTTAATAAGAGGGGAAACATAACGTCCTGGTGAAAATTCAAATATTCCTTTGCTTTTTCTAGTGAAATTAATTATTTTGAAAAATAAAAATTACCCTCATTTTTACCACTTAAATTTTGAGGCATCTTAGTGTTAATTCCTCGTGGTCACTGAATACCATTAGAGGGCCTCCTTAAACAATGGTTGCTACGAACCCAATATCGATTTCATCTTTGTTGCTGGATTGAAGGAATACCTCTTGTTAGAACTAATATTAAAAAATAAAAGGAATATCTGATGCTTGTTACTTTAGAATATCTCAATTTTCCTGTTATTTTTTAATATTTGATGATATTGGCTGGATTAAGATATTGTCGTCTTATTTCAAAAACAATAGCAAGCCTTGTCCCGTTAGGCAAGGGTTGGCTGTATAAATTGCATGAGAACATTGTGCTCTATCATCAGTCAAGCTTTTAGGAATACTATTAATCAAGAAGTCTCATTCAATAGCTTCCGTAAGTGTTCTCTTTAGTCATCTTTTACTTCTCTTTACAGGGTTTAAAATTATTCATTTCATTCTCCTCACTTGTGCCTTTCACGACTTCTCTATACATGTTCAAACTATCTCAAATGATTTTTTATCATTTTTATTTCAATAGAAGTCACGCGCATTTTTTCTTGTAGATGCTCATTTTGTATTTTATTTTTTCGTACATCCTCATATTTGCTACTTAAACTTCATGCTCCTATTGTCTTTTTAAAGCTCAACATTCATACCTATATAACATGATTAGTCTTATATCAGTTCCAATAAAATTTCTTATTAAGTTTATTAGGTAAGCTTCGATCATAAATAATTTCTTTAGCCTTTTTTCATTTAAACCACCCAACTTATATTTTATGTCTCATTTCAAACCAATAAAAAAAGATAGTTCTCCAGAACATGTTTTAAATTTGTCAACTTGAATTTGTGAACGGCATGATACCTTCACCTGATCAATCTGGTCCTCTAATTTCTCCCACCCTCTTCTTTTTATTTTAATTTTTACGAGGAACATAAGATGTGCTGTGGGTTATACTGTTACCAAACGAGAATGGGAATACTGAATGAAAAATGTATATTGCATTAACGAAGATGGATCTATACAAGTGTTTATATACAGGATTAAATACACTGTATAAGGCTTAATAAAATCAGTTACAACTAATTAACAATCAAACAGAAATTATTCTGAGACTAACATATACTAGCATCAATTCTACTTGACAATTAGCGCATTTATGAAGAAGTATATGCCATGTTAATTTCACTATTTCCTGTTACGTTTCCAACCCCCCCTTTCAGCTGCAGGGTCCTTTGCTTTTATGTTTCTTAATTTAGCAGGATGCTAGAATGTCTTGCAAGTGTGGTAGGTTTACATGTAAATGACTATGCATTCTCTTGTCTTCCTATTTGGGCAGCTCTGAATGAGACCTTGACTGCTGAAGTCCAGCGTTTGAGGCTTGCAGTCACAGAACTTGGTGGCGAGCCTATTCTCTCGGGCTGCATAGCAGCTCGCCAACATGCTATTAATCAACAAAGGTTCCAATTGCAGCATGAGCAGCCTGGCCAGCTTAAACGATCGCAAATGCAACATCAGCCTCAGGAGGAGACCCAGCCTCAGTCGCACCAGATTCAACATAATGAATTGAATCTCCAGCCTCAAAATGACAAAGCTACTGCCTTCTGAGCTTGCACCGAATCATAGATAGTCGCTCTCCAGTCAAGCTACATTTAATTCCTTTAGGCGATGGGTGGCATTAACTTACTTTTATATTTTTAATAGTCTATACATCAGCTCTATTTAATTTATTAATTTGTAGGTTTCACCCATTATAAAATATATGCTCGGAACAGTTTCTTGTTATTGTAGTGGTCGTGTTTTGACTGCATTTTCGCCCTTGCTAATGAAAACAATCTTATATTTCACAGTATTAATTTGTTCTGGATTTAGAGATATCAAAAATTCTTGGGAGCGCAATATTTTCTTGAAGGCATTGTCTATATGGATACACGAGTGTGAGCACAGTGGATTATGGAGGATGTTTTCTGAGGAAATCAGTTTCTGTTAGCTGATGAGCGAAGGGCTGTGATCCTTTGGTGGTGAGTCTTGGGGCGTTTAGTTTGTTTCTTTGAGACACGACAGGGAATAATTGAACACAAAATAAGATTGTTGAAAGTGAAGCAGGAGCTCCGCAGGTCCAACATGGAGGAAGAATAACTTTATTAGAACCGCAGATGTGTGACTCAATTGGCATTTTTTTTTAATAGGGAGGCAAGATCAAAGCTTGAAAAAGTTGCATGCTACAGCAACCTACGAAAGGAAAAACAAGGAGAAATTAAAACCAGAAATTTTGTCTATCTCATATATATATATATATATACACACACACACCTGGCATGACATTTAATCGGAGGTTCTTTGAGATATATAATGTCGCCATTTGATCTATGAGCTTTCCTAGCTAGATAATCTGCACACAGTATGGTACTCCTTTTGTGCATGTTGCACTTGAACATCCCAATTTGAAAATAAAACTGATCTTGTATCATTAATTTCAGCTCAAATAGTGAGTTCTGTGCTTGGCTAAGCCGCCACCAATTCAGAAGTCACTTTTGTATTTTTTTTTCCTGCAAGGCTTTCTATTGTAATTTGTCAGAGTCCTAAAGTTGACTGATTTCTGATCCTGAAGAAAAAAATTTCCAAAGTAGGAGTCGGTAGAAGCCGCATTTTAGTTGTCAATTGAGGATTGACACTCCCTTGCCCTTTGGTTGGAATAAGCGTGGGCAGCCAGGTTCTGTTAAAAATGATATGTTCAGTTGTTATGAGTGTTCAGTGAACTGCTGCAAAGTTCAGAAATTCAAATTTTATTACAATAACTTTTTTTGTTCGGAGGCTAGCGTCATCAATGCTTTTCTTCTTAAAAGTAAGCTATGTTCAAGGCAAGTGAAGGGTTACTAATATTGCATACTCCAAGATCTAATTTGAGCTAAATTAGGACTCATCTTTCCTCCCGAAAAGGTCATCTTGGTTATAAAATATTTACCCATCCTTTTGTGAAGAGCAATCCAGAGGTAATGCTAATGCTGTGTGTCACTGATAGTAGTGGGATGATCTCACTATAGCTGTTGTATCGATAATAAATTTCACTTTGTTAGAAGGTAAAACAACATGTCGCAGGCAATGTCGTATCACCTCCTATACTATCTATGTGGTTTATTATTGTAGCTTTTGGTGTTTTCTTTCTTTGTTTTTCTTTAGTATTATTCTGCTTGCTGATGCAACTGACAGTGTCTACTCCTTTTTCAACAGCTTGGTAGATATGACACAGGTTCTGCTGAAGGTATTTTAGTTGTATTAGTTCAAATTGAGTTAAATGTTTACAGATACAAGATTTCCTATTGGCCAAAAGAAAAATAGTCAAACTTTCCCGTGGTCGTTCCTGGTTAGAGGCCTGAGAGTTATTCCTGACCAATCCTATCCTTAGTTTTAGCAGTTAGGAAGGCCTGCATTCTAAAAGGTCCATAAACTGGTTGTTGATTTGAATGCGCTGCAGGAATTGAAGAATCTGAGAGCAAAACTCTAGAGGCTAAGCAGACAGGGAAAAAATGGGTGCAAAAGGAGCCGACGATTCTAAGAAGAAGTCAGAAGAGTCATCTGAATCTGAGGCGGAAGAAAGTAATGACTGGGGTGATGACGAGAGGGAAGAGCAAGTGAATGGTGAGGCAGAAAAAAAAAAAAAGACAACGCGGTGGAAATAATTTAGGGAGAGGTCGAGGTAAGGCATCAAAGAAATTAGCTGCTGGGGGAAAGGATCTGGCCGCGGACGTCAGCAAACAAGAGCCCTGAATCTTCTGTGAAGACATTTGCTAGAGGAAGACCCCGAAAGTCATGACATTGGTTTTTTAATCATAAAAAATAGCAGAAGTGTACTTGCATAATTCACCGCCACCATTGCATCATATTTAAATTTTGGCCTTGCTAAATGTTTTACTTCGCATTTCATTTTCCACAGTTCTTGAGGGTGCTCTCTCCTTTTCCAACCTTTATTGTCTGGGACTAGGGAATTGTTTTTTGCTGTTGATCAAGAAATATGAGGCCAGATTTTGGTCTCCCTATGATAGCCGGACGATACGGTGCTCGAGAGTAAGTTATGGTAATCCACAGTTATAACTTGTGTGATGGGATTTTGTTTTTTGAATCAAAGTGAATGACATGGTGGTAGAAATAGATTATAGTTGCTACTTGAATGCTGCCCGTGTTGATTTATCTAATTGCCCATCGATCGTTGCCGATAAAAAAAAAAAAGGAGGCTTCTAATTGACGCCATTAATATGGTTTGCACGACCGGATTGGTTTCTAATATAGAGGACAGATGCACTTGTATTGGCATCCATAAGCTCATTGCCATGAAATGGGGGCGTGTTGTGTTCAGCGGGGATACAAGTTCCAAGAGCTCATGAAACGACCATGATGGCGGCTGTCTTCTGGGCTTCCTTTCAAACCTCCAAAATGTTGACTACTGAGGTGCCAGTGACAAACTTACGTCCACCACTCTAAAGTCTAAAAGGCCAGCATGAGCCCTGAAATGAAAGGCTGCCTGCCATTATCATTCTTCATCTGCCGTTTGGTCTCACTCTTCCATCATTGGTGACCTCGAATTACTTCTAGTGAGGGATGGAAACTGAACGAAAGGGGGAGCGACCTACGAACGAATAAACGATAAAGTAATAAAATATTAAGTCTCGAGTTTAATTATGAATCCTCTTGACATGGCCACGTATAATTGAGTTCAATTCTATCATATGTGTTACATCCCGCGCATAATAGGTTAGCACTGATATTTATGGCACAACCAAATTAACATTTTCAGGCAGCAGTGAGTCGTTCCGGGTCCATATGCTTTCAATTAGACCTCACACCGGCACAGCCTTTGCTGCTTCTTTATGGTGTGCATTATCCATTAGATTACGCTTGTAATGGCGGAATTACAAGTTTCACCCGGGAATATTTTAGCGGGGCTCATGATCATTGTTATGTTTAAACGGTGGGAACGAGGCAATCAGAAATAGCGCGTGCGTGCGTGCGTTTGGGTGCTTGGAATCCCATGTGAGAGGGGGTCCACTGGCCTAGTATAATAGATGGAAGTGGTGGCCAGTCATGTGGCGTCGTACTTAAATGCCTGTTGATTGCTGAAATGATTCTTTCTTTATGATTGAGACGCCTTGCTTCCTTTGAGATGCTAATGCTACCCTCCTTCTCCGCAGCAAGGTTCCCAAGCATTTTACCAAGAGGTTAGATGGTGGCATCACACCATCTGTGTTCTGTGCCCTGCACTATAGTATTCCCATTAATATCATCAGATGGATGCTCGTACAAGGGATGGGGACCATGCAACCTCGTATTGCTCAATTATCCCCGCAAATGAAAGTACATCATATACTTCTACATACCGAAATCTAATAAGGTGTCTGGCCTCGTGTATAAAAATCCCTGAAAAATAAAAGAACGAAAAAGAAAAAGAAGAATGAAGCCTGCTCGGCTTGGACGGGCCACTTCATTATGCCTTGGCATCGAAGGTTTCTTTGCCTTTTTTTCTTTTTGCTTCCATGAACGGGGGATGGGTAATTAGACTTGTTTTATCATGATGAATGCATTATAATTGTCCCGGTTGTGGCCCCACTGTGTGCCTGCTCTGGAAGAGGCATTCCAAAAGCCAACTCACAGCTTGGGAAAAAAGGGGGGGGGGACACAGCTCCAGCTTTCCCGACACAAGGCCACACATCTATACCCCTTGCCTTTTCTCCTGCTCTCCAGACTTAGGGCTGGGGCAAAGCATATGGCATTCTATTGCAGATGTTACAATTGAAGTTATGTATCTTGTAAACTGGAATAGTCTTCCACATGCATCCCTCTATTAGCAACTCTTCTTAAAGGACTCGGCTACTAGCTCCCCAGCCTTTTTTATAGGATTGAATTAGGGATGGGAAGGTAGCGGTTACAAGTAGGGGTGGCAGAGGGCAGAACGTAGTTGGAGAGCGGATCAAATCTAAAGAGCAGTCAGTTGAAAAGTGGCGCATCCACAGGAGAGAGGCCCCATGTGCTCCTCCTGCTTTCATTTCTTAATTCTCATATGCCCCTCCGGAGCAGTGCCCAGCTCCCATGTGCTCTTACGTGGCCTCACTTTACCCCGTCCACGTTTCAGGTCACGACAAAATTCCTGTCAATCTTCTGCTTCCTTTGTATCTGTATAAACTGTCGTCCGCCTTTTTTATAGCCATCTGATCCGAAGCTTTTAACCATTTCAATATTTCTCTGGAGATTTCGATAATTGATTTTACGGTTAATTATATTTGAAGGTGGCCAAGATAATGAAGAGAATGACGGGAGTCCTTTTACTTTGCTTCTCGTTTTGGAATGGGATGGCTTTTCAAGGAAGACCACCGAATCACGCTGTGTACAGTGAGCAAAGGATGAATGAAACCAACAGATAAACTCCTTGGGGCCCGGCACTTGACAAGTCGTTATCTTTTCATTCAATCTCATTTTATTTTTTCACTTCAAGCTATCCGAATCACGTATTAATGCGCGCGCGCAGAGTCAGAGAGATAAGCTTGTTGATTATCTACAGAGGACATATTACTCCCCTCTTTTTAAATTATAAGGTAACTTTAAAAAAATTTTATTATTATAAAATATAAGATAATTTTAAAAAATAAATTTTTATCAATAATTTTTTTAATATTATTCTTTAAAAAAATTAAAATAATATTACAGTATAATAATTAAATGTGTAAAGGTATTTTTTCAAAATTTATATTTTTATTTAAAAATAATTTTATAAAGTATTATTATTATATTTTATTAGTATGTATAATTTTATCTTAAATTATTTTATAATTTAAAATAAAAAGAGTAAGTAGTAATTTACTATTATTTAAAAAAAAAAAGGCGTCTTGAATGCTCCGAGTGGATATCAGTAATGATGGATTAAATGAATGATGGAAGCATGATTATATAGGTATGTGAGGAGAGGCGGTGAAAGTGAATTCTTTCCTTTGGATTCCATCTTCCGTCTTATTTTATGCGAGACGCCGCCAGCTAATTCCTCCGCCTTCGATTTCAAAAAATGATAGGTTCAACCACCCTCCAAGCTTCTTCGGTCAGTTCTAAACCCCCACCCCAAAAATAAAAAATTACGATCAAAAGTACAAGTGGGCGTGTAATCATTTCATTTTATCCTGTGATCGTCATCTGTGCATACTCCTTTGGTCGTCCTCACTCCCACCCCTCCAATGCAATCAATTAGCGATGCACTTCACAATTATCCCGCCGGACCACCATACTGTGAGCGTTTAATTCTCCCCCCTCCCTCCTCATGCACTTTTGAATCATTAATTAATTGATGACAGATGATTTACCGCCATCAACTAAAATCTCAGACGATAGCAATCTTTAAATACTCAATCCAACCTCCCAGTCTGACACCCACCCTTTACTGCAAGCGAAGACAAACTGAATAGAACATGGCCGTTTAAAAGGATAAAATAAAATAGAACAAAAAACGAGTTGAATATAATATACTGTCGCTGAGAAACCGGAATGGACTAGCGTTGCGGCACGATAATTTGCAACTGCACTGTAAATCTGTGATTTCTCGCGAGTGATCCGCTATGACTCGTGAGTGTATAAGATTTTGCGATCTTCAATCTAACAAATCTGTGAGTCTTGGTCCGTACTTTCTTTGCATTGAATTTGAGATAAATTATATGACCATTTATATTTTATAATAAAAATGTATCTTTTTATCTGGTGTTAAATATCCTGTATCAAGATTTATGGATAATTTATACATATAAAAAAATACAGCATGTTTTTAATTAAATTTTACTCTCAATAAAATAATTAATTATTTTTAATTTAATATTAATTTTTATATTTATTTTTATTCAATAAGGTATTTTGTTTAAAAATTAATATATTTTTAAATGAAAAAACTGCAGTATACAGATAGATTGGACCACGAGAGTATTGAGCAGGATGAATTAAAATAAAATGTATTCACCAAAAAACCAAAAAAAAATTACAATGTGATAGCTTTTTCTTTCCACTGTCAAAAGTCTCAACGGATTACCTGACACACCATATCACGCACAGCTCACAGCAACACAGCGCGGACACCAGCGTAATTAAATTAGCCAGATTTAAGGTGTGCGTTGAGGTCCGTGTTTTGAAGGTTGCGTTTAGCATGTTACGCTCGCCATTTTCCAATGCGATGACCTCACAGAACGTCTTGTCTCTGACTGCAAGAGGGTGGGAGGTGTACTGAAGACTGAGAAACCAACAGCGGGGGAGATAGAGAAAGAAAGATGGGAAAATCTACTTCCTGCTTCAAATTAATCACATGCGGCGGGGATGCGGCGGACGGCAACGACGATTACCAAGTGTCCGAGGTGAGCTTTCTGATTGCATCTGGGCTTTTTCATTATTTCGAAGTACTAGGTTAGACTTCTTCTGATCGGAGGTTGCTTGTGGTAAATTATGGAACTTGCCTCTTTCCTGCTTCCTGCATTGATGGATTAGTAGTTTCTGGGTGGATTCGGTTCGTGTTTTCGGATTCATGTGTTTAATGCATTCTGCTGCATGAGATGCCATCCATCTTGCATCATGAATGGCCATTGTCGGTTTTTGGGCAGCCTAATTAGCAGGAAAGGAACGTGGTAGAAATTTTCCTTTCTTGTGCATGTGAATGCAAACAAGTCTACCGTTTAAGGGGTTATATCGAGTTTTTGATGAAATGAAACTAATGAAGTGTTTGTTCTTTTTTTCTTACTCAAAAATAAGTTAATGTTGGGGAGCTGTTGACTCTACCTGGTGGTAATTTTGCTTTTCAATTCTTCGAGGTCATTTTTCTGTATTTGGGAAATTTGCGACTGGATTGCTTAGATTACTGAAACTATTATTTCCAAAGCCACATGACGACGCGACACCTAAATCAAATCTTATTGTTTTGACGTAATTTATGGGCATGTAAAATTTTAAAACTTCTCGAGACATATGGCTCTTGACATTGGTTGCCTATCTTAGGATCCGGTGGATTTTTTTCTTTGGTTGGACCGGTCGGATGTAAATTACGTGCAAGATTTTGGGATCCATGGCATGAGGTGGATAGTGTTTTTATTGGAAAAAAAGTTTGGCAGCGCATACTACATGTAGATCAAATAACCGCGTCTTGCACCCGTGGAACTTTTATTGGATAAGTGAGAGATTGAGTGGGAAACCTTGTTATTATGAAAGGACACAAGACTTGATCATTTATGACATAACAATTAGCATATCTTAAAAGTTGATTATATAAATATAGGACAAGACTTATGTATTAAGCCTTATATATTTAATATACTTTTATCCAATCAAATCAAAACATGTGAATTTTAATGTGTTAATAATACAAATAACATGAAGTTGTTATGGAATGAATAATTTATAAATGTTTTTGATTTAATTGAAAACTAGCACCTTAAATATATAAGGCTTTTTTCCGTAAATATAATATAAGAGCATGATTTTTACGAGGAATTGATTTCTGGAAACTGGGGGAATCGATTGGAATGGAGACACCGTTCTTATTTTTAGTGTATAGTTGTGTTAGAAATCAAATTGTATCCCATCCCTTTCTTTTGTTTAAAACATGTTCTCAGTACAGACATGAAGGGTAGTTTTGATCAAATCAAAATTAATTGGAGGAGTGAAAACAAATCATTGCTAATTTTAGATTGTCTATATTTATCATGTTCACCCCATTGCAAGGGAATGTTGATTCTGCTCTGAGAAATCAAGGGCTTCAAATAGGAACATCAGTCCAATACTTATTTTGCTTCGAACCTAGGAATTCTCATTGTTTAAAAATGTAACTAGGAAGACAGTCAATGCCCGTTGTGCATCATGAATTGGGATTTTGCTTCATATATAAGTGCGTGCACACATTTGAACATATTTCATATTTGTAAGTAGCTGTGGGAAGAGATTGAAGTTTTATAAACTCTCTAGCTTGCTGATATGTAGGGAATCAAGTTGCCTTTCACCAGTGATTTATTTATTTATTTTTCCAGATCAAAGATTCAAGTGACAAACGAGGTTGGAGTTTCCGAAAAAAATCTGCAAGGCATCGTGTGCTTAGCAATGCTGTAATTACAGACACCCCTTCCAGAGCAAATAAGGAGAGTTCAGAATGTACTAATGTCAATTTCCAACCATCAACCGAAACTATAATTGCTGAGAAGAGCCATACAACAAATTGCCCTGATGAGAAACCCCCATTATCATCTGTGGCAAACTCACAATTATCTGAAACAGTTGTCACTGAAACTGAGAGTAAGGTGGATGTGAATCCACCGGAGCCTGTGGTTATCACCATCCAAGCTGCCATCAGAGGGTTCATGGTATGTTTTCATGAGTATACTATTCCTAAATCTCACAAGCAAGTTACGACTGTAACTGCTGTATTGCATATACCTATTTCCTTTCGGGTTCTTTCAGGCTCAGGGAGCTTTGCTAAAGCTTAGGAATGTGGTGAAGTTGCAAGCTGCTGTTCGTGGGCATTTGGTTAGAAGGCATGCTGTAGGAACCCTGCGTTGTGTTCAAGCCATAGTTAAATTGCAACTCCTCGTGCGAGCTCGTCATGCACAGCAGTTGCATCAAGATAAGCATGGCAAAATTAATGGCTCAGAAATTTTGGTAAGCTATTTAAAATTGCTGATTACGAGATACCTTACTTGATGGTCCAATCAATTCAATTACATACTTGATGGCTACTAATTTAATGCTATCATCCTATGCTGAAGTTTGTGGGGCTGGTTTTGTGTTTATGTTGATCATTATATCACTAGATTTCATAGTTTGGCTTGGGGGATCAAGATTTTGCTTGGATGTTCAAACGCTTAAGCGTTGCTAATGTCTTACTCATTACTTTTTAGTGTTCATCTTGAATCTGTCTCTTTACCATGAGCAATCTGAGATGAATTCAACATTCCTATTCAGAATAATGAAAATTTGTTGTCAGTCCTGCTTTATGTCTACAATTCTGTTGTTATAGGAGTTGATAATGTGGTGATAGATGAAGTTGTCAGGTGAAAGGTAGAGTCATAAAACTACAAAAGGTCTGAAACAGTTCAACCCCTTGAGTACAAAGCTGTCATTCCAACTTTTTGTATTAATCAAGCTAAAAATATAAAGCCTGGGAAGTCAAGTAGTCACAAAAAGTTTGTTGTGTTTTCTTGCCAAAATCATGCCTCTTTGCTCTTGCTTGATAGCTTGGTTCTAATGACCTGAAACTCTTATTGCTTGAGGTTGCTATATTTTTATCGTCAAGGATATCCTTTATTAGATTTGTATTCTGGGCTATTTGTATGCTGCAAGCCCTGCCCTAAGTGCAACCATTATTTTTTATGGTTTAGGGTAATGGAAATCACGTGAGTGAGTCAAGTGTGAAGTCCACTTCCATAGAGAAACTGCTGAGCAATAGGTTTGCTCATCAGGTATTTGTGCCAGTTCAATTGCATAATGTATGTTGTCCCACATTTATTGATTATGCTAAATTTTTTTCTCTTTTTCTACCTTAAAGCTGTTGAAATCCACACCAAAAGACAAACCAATCCATGTCAAATGCGATCCTTCCAAAGCTGATTCTGCTTGGAAATGGTTGGAGAGATGGATGTCTGTTTCCTCATTGGATTCTGCAGAGTCTAAAATAACAAGTTCAGTGGTGGAGCTATCAGACAACAACGAATCTAGCACTTCTGTGTTTCAATTGGAAACCGGGCTTCAGTCTGAAGTTTTTTGTCAGTCAGATGACTCAAAGATTACTGCTGAGGACTCTGTTGTGCCTTCAGAGGTTGAAGAGAAGGTGACTACTTATGATACTGGAAACTTAAGCTTTGAAGCAACCCATTCTATGTCTCTTGCCAAAGATGATTTGGAGCAGGCTCAGCCTGAAATGACAATTACTTTTGATGCTAAAGTAACCTCAGAAGACATTGATTCTCACCAAAATAAAATGGTGGCATCAGATGCAAATTCTCCTCAGGAGCTTAGTTCTCTTCCTGAGAAACCTGAAATTGACAGTGAACAGCCCGAAAGATCTATGAAAAGATTTGCCTCTGAGCAACTAGAGACTGAAGGAACCAAACTTGGGTATGCATCAAGAAAGGCTAGCAATCCAACTTTTATTGCTGCACAGTCAAAATTTGAAGAGCTGAGTACAATGGCAAATTCAAGTAAGTCAAGCAGTTTGTCCAATAAAGATGCAACAGTTGAAGCACATGTGGACCCCATTTCTGTTGGCACAGACAGTGCATTTAGGTCAAAAGAGTTCTTGTTGGACAATTCTGCTCGCCTTCCTTTCAGGATTGGTGGCTCTGAATGTGGTACTGAACTCTCTATTTCTTCCACGCTTGATTCGCCAGACATATCTGAGATTGGGGCTACAGAAAATGAACCTGAAGCCAAGGATTTATCAGAAGGGCTTTGTAATTCTGACAATGCGATAAATCATGAGGATGTGGCCAATGTTTTTTGTACCACTCCAGCTTGTGACTTACCCAGATCTGCACTGGATCGGCCTGAGGCTGCGAATGACAAAGATGTCAGTAGCAAATCAGTACATTCAGCAGTAGTTGTTGATTCCAAAGAGCCAGCTCTTGAGTCTGAGAAAAACATATCTGATCTGCAAAGAGAACAGGTGGAGTCTGCTGTGCAAGATCTCAGAACATCTCCCGAAGCTTCACCCAGAAGCCATGTGACTGTCCCTGAATCTCAAGGAACACCTTCAAGTCAGGTGTCAGTGAAACCTATAGAGAGAAAACCTGAGAAGACTGGATCTGGATCAACGAGTAGACAAAAGCTTCTATCAGCTGGTAAAAAATCACCTGCGAATGCAACGCCTGATTCAGGATCTAGAGGTAGTAGGGAACAGCTGCCTAAAGATCAGGGGAGTGGGAAGAGGCGCAATTCATTTGGCTCAGCAAAACCTGATCACGTTAATCAAGAATCAAGAGATAATGGTAACAATAGTTCCCTTCCTCATTTCATGCAAGCCACAGAATCTGCCAGGGCCAAGATCGATGCTAATAATTCTCCACGATCAAGTCCAGACTTTCATGACCGTGAGGTGCATGTTAAGAAGAGACACTCCTTGCCTGGTGCAAGTGCAACTGGTAGACAGGTTTCTCCACGCATCCAGCGCTCAATTTCTCAGGCACAGCAGGGTTCGAAAGGACAAGGTTTGCATTCTCCTCGTGGTATTATCTTAAATTCTGATGCCTAGAGAATTTTCTTTGGTTCTATTTTTAGTTTTTTTTTTCATTATAAAACATACATACTTCCTGTTCTTGTTATGAAGATAATTCAACATATGATTTTGACTTTTATGGGCTTCATTTGCATGTATGGATTTGCTATCACATATGTGACTATGGTTGACTTTTGAAACTTATACAGTGAACCTGAATTTTCACCCCCCTTATTCCCAACCGAAGATTAACGTAGTTGCCACATTCAAACGGGGACTGAGAAAGTATTTCTTTTGTTACCATGCTCAGTGACTTTTTATTTATTTCTAGCATTAAGTCTGTTGATAAGCCTATACTGAATGAGGTGTTGATTATTATGACAAGGTTGAGTTTGTAACCATTCTATAGTTGCCAAGTTATTTACTAGTTTTTTGATGGAGACTTGATAGTATGGGATACCAAGTCCCACATTGAGCAGTATGAGATGCTCAATAGGGTATATAAGTGGGTTGGTTCTCCTACTTTAACAGCTAACTTTTAGGGTAGGGTTTCCCATAACCTATCAATTGGTGTCAGAGTCTCATTGTTGGCGGTTTCGGAGAGGGCTACCTACAGAGGATTATGATTGGAAGGAGATCGAATTGAGTGTTGTGGAGTGTAGCTGTCGGGATGTCAACTTTCTATGGGAGGCCAATTGATGGAGACTTGGTAGTATGGGATACCAAGTCTCATATTGAGTAGTATTGGATGCTCAATGGGGTATATAAATGTGTTGGTAGCTTTTGGGATAAGATTCCCCATCCCACTTAGGTACCTATCATTTTCCCACTGGAATGCGAGTAATATATGCATTACTTGCTTGTTAATCGGTAAGGGCTTTTACCTTCGAAAAGTATATTGTTTGTCTTCTAAATGCATTGTCCATCTTGCAAGATTCAGCAATGAGAAGTATAATGATTTTGCTTCATGAAGTGATCTGCTAATGAACCACTTAAATTATGCTTCTCAGAGAGGAAGTGGCAGAGGTGAATTGGCAGCTGAAGTGTGCTGACGTGCCTCTACAGTAGTAGACGTGAAAGACCAATTTGGAGTTTCTGATTTCACTTTGTTCATTCTCTGAGGGATAGCTGCTCAGTTTTATTTGCCGGGATTTTTTACACCCTTGAGGTTTTTTAACTTCTTCTGTATTCTTTGCCTCCCCTCCCTGCTCCCCCCAAATTTGAAGGTGGCCAGTTGGACTGAAGGATTCGTCTGGGAACATACATAAATACAAGTGAAGTGAGTGAGGCCTATTCAGTTATTTGTACATTGTTGCTCGCATTACTGCTTAGTTTTATTTTTTCATACCCAGTGAGTGGGAATCGATTTGTAAGTTTCTGGCTACAACTGTGTGTGATATAAGTTTGTTTGTTTTAAATTGCTTTGCCTGCTCAGTCATGGTGGGCGATACCGAGTTTGTTGGAATTAGTTGGATGGATTGACACGACCGAGATTCTTAGTTTTTTTTTTTTTTTTTTAAATTCTGAATTTGACGGGCAGCGTCACGGCTCGCTTGAATCTTTAACTTGGAGGTGTAGCGGTTTTTGGGTGGCTGGTAAACTAGCTCGAGGAACGACTTGGCTAATATGTACGTACATATGTAAGTATGTTTATGTATGCATTTTGGGTCACAGACAGATGAGGTGGGTTGCGTGACTGATGAATCTATGAAATTGAAGATTAATTTTTATTTGGTCAACAATTTAAATTAGGATTATACTGATAGGAAAAACCTAGAAAACAACAAATTACCTTTTTTTTTCTGTGTTAATAATTATAGGTAAATGTATAAATTTAATCACGAATTATTTTCTGAAGAGTATTTGATAGTTTATATCATTGAGTGGTGTAAAATAAATCATTAATTGTTTAAAATGTAGCACCTAGCACTTATCGTTAAATTTGACCAAACAGATGTTACTTTCTCCCTCTCTTCACATCGCATGTTATTTCTTTGGTGTGTAGCCTATTCTAATCCTTCATGAGGTGATTTCTGGTGACTAAAGAAGCGATTTTTGATGGGGAAAGGAAGAACGCATGGTGTGGAAACTTTTGATAAAGCGCGTTCGATGATACTCCTTTTCATTAGCTTTACCAAACAAGCATCATAGGTTGTGATTTTTGTCAATGCGCGAGGTGATTTCCAATGAGGAAAGAAAGATTGAGTTGCATTGAAATTTTGAATGAAGCGCTAGGTAAGTGAAAGGGGTGGAAGAATGCTGCTCTTTGGTGTAGAAGGGAATTAATCATAGACTTGACCACCCTCGACTCAATCTTGGATCCTCGAAGACCTGGCCATCCCCAATTTGTTCTTCCTTTGGCTAGATTTCATGATCATTACTCAGTGTACTAGTACATAGTTAGTGAATTCCACTTCAATCTATTGCAGTTGGACTCTTTCTTGTGGTTCAATTCTTGTTTTTTATCTCTATGATTCTCGACTGATTTTTAAACCTCTAACCATCTTCACTTTTATTGTCATAGCTCTGTTTGAGTTGAATTTCTTTATTCTTGAATTTGAGGAAGTTTGAATTCATTTGAAGTGAAAGAAGATCTTTAACACATTCGACTCAATATTCACAAAATCATAGGTTCTTTTTCTAATTCTAGTTTTTCATTTTAAGTTTGTGCTAGATTTGTTCTTTTTCTTAAGTTTGTACTGGACTTAGTAAAATAGATCTTACTGGACTACTCTTGCTACTTGTTGATCTATAGGATTTCATGGTTTTCCTAGACCATAAATTTCATTTGAATTTATCTAAATTGGAGGACTTAATTCCTTTAATCTGGTTTAATTTTGGTGTCCCTGGTGGTTTGTCTCTCTGAAATCTCTACTATTATTTGCTCCGATGACTGTAACAACTTATGATCAAGCTTCTTTGTGGCTCGCTGCTTATCCCCTTTCTCAACTTCATTTGGACTCTTTTTCCCCTCTCTCAATCAGATCTCCATTGTGCTTTTCATTTGGCCATGGGAGACAACAACGATGGTGAAGAGAAGAGATTGGTTCGATATTAGAAGGTTGGGGAAGAGATGGATGGTGTGAAAATTTGTGGGTTCCACAGACATAATAAACAGACATTGGATAAAATGGACAGAAGGTTGTGGCTGCTTTGTTTTCTATAATTGATGACTTTTTTTTTTTTGGCACAATCTTATGGCACAAGCTAACTAGTACTCTTTAAAAAATAATTCATGACTAAATTTGCATATTTATCCAATAACTATTTTCAACATTAACAATTCATGCAATATAGAAATGGATATAAAATTAGTGTGATGTATTTAAGTTAAACTTGTAAATAATATTGGGTATGACTTTGAAAACCTGATTTATATTTAAAAAATATATTTTTTAAATTTTAACGTCCACGACAAACTAAAATTATGATGATAAGAGGAAAAAAGGTCCTTTTTAACTTTTTCCAAAGAAATAAGTTCCTTTTGACTAAAAGGGAGAAGGCAAGGCTCTACACAAAATAAGATATGCATAATGTATTAATATCATGTTTTTATTGGTCCGAATAGCATGGTATACCGATTTATCTAAAATTTTCTCTTAATGCTATGCCTTTTCATATTGATTTTTTTAGGCAATTTATAATTGTAATTGTCAGCCTGGAGAAATTTATAATTGTCATCAATCTATACATAATGAGATAATTAATACGTGAAATATAATATGGATGGTTTATATAAAAAAAAAAGGTTGACAAAAATATATTAGGTTAAAATATATTTTTAATCTTTTAATTTTATATAAAATTTTAATTTAGCTCTTAATTTTATAAGTATATTTTTAATCCTTTAGTTCAAATATCGTTAATTTTAAATAATTATTTTTTCATCAATCACTATTTTTAAAAAAATTAAACTTAATAAGTTAATATTTAAAATTACTTTGTCAATATTTAAAAGTTTAATATAAAATATTTTTGTGATAAAATTAACGGTATAAGAGTTAAATAACTAAAAATGTAACATCTCAATTTAAATTTTAATAGTTAATTTGGGTTAATAGAAATTTAAAAAAAATATTTAGAGTTAAAAAATTAGTAAGAGATGATTATTAAATCTAATTTAGGATATAATTCTAAAAAAAAATTTAAAAGAAATTTAAAAAAATAAATAAAAAAAATAAATAAATAAATATTATTAAATTATTATTATAATAAAAAAAAGGGAAAACGTATTAAAAAAAAAGGGGGAAAGAAGAAGAAGAACAAATTGCTTTCAGCGCGTCATGATTACATAAAAAAAAAGGGGGAGAGAGAGGAAAGAAGAAATAATATTAAAAAAATGTAGGACCGCTGAATTTTTATAAAACTCACCCGTTTCCTTTCATTTCTTCAATTCTTTTCCTGCGCGTGAGCTGAGGCGAAGAGAAATGAGTTGCCAGTGCAAATATCTAAATTTTTAAGGTAAGAGTTTTTAATAGGATATTTAGAGTGTGATTTTAAACTTTTCAAGACTAAGTAAGTGTTCTAAAAATTTTTCTTAATCATCCTTCTTCTTTGGTTTCTGAGTTTGTAGTGGTAGAAAATTTAATATCTGGAAGAGGGATGAATTTATGTTGAATAAATATGATTTTTGAGGTTGTCAGTAGTATAATAAATGTTCTAGAGTATAAATTTATTGATGATCTTTGAATCTGTGGCTTATGGATCAAATTCTAAACTAGATCTGAAAATATATGTTGATTTATTGAGGTTTAGATGATTATTTGGGATGAGAAATGAATTATTGTGGTTATAGGATTATGATTCTAAGCTAGAGACTCAATTTTTAATTTTTGGGTATTTTAGGTACGAATTTATGAAATAAAAAGAAAATTTTGATAATAGAAATTAGTTTAGAAGTTGATTTTTAGATTATTAATGTTTATTGATAATTAAAAGAGGAGTTAAAAATTTTACTTAATAGTATTAACTATAGATTTGTATTAAAATTGAGATTAGGAATTATGTTATATTTTTAATTCTATTATTAGAATTATTTTATTAGTTTCAAAAATTGAAACTAATATTTATAAATAATATGTTATTTTGTAGATTGTATTACTGGTGAAGATTGTGGTGAGAGAGAAATTTTAAGAAATAATTTATTGAAAAAGCCACAAGGTAACCATGCTTTTAATTTGTGATTAGTGTTACTTCATGTTAATTGGGTGATTATTGAGAAAATTATAAATTTTGTAATATTGTATAATTGTACAATATTATTATAAATTTGTTTGATTATTGTGGGAGGTGTTGGGAGACTTGCTATTATTGTTGTATTTATGTGCCACGTGGTACGCCCTTATTGAAGCTCAATAGGTGGCTTGTAAGGGCTCGGGCTAATCTACCTTTGGCCGGGTAATTTAGCACCGAGTGAGGGCTACGGCTTGAGGTTAATGGAGGGATATAAGGATGGTTGTTTGTGTATATTGTAATATTTCATATATTTGTTGGAATTATATTATTTTTAATTCTCACTTAGTAAGCACACACTTAACTGTTTGTATACACTATCATAAATTGGCTTTGGTTACTGGGACTTTTGAGTCTCATTATGTGGTTAACAATTTTCAGGAGAAGAGCCACGAGTACACGTGGAGGAGTCCCAGAGGTTTAGTGGTATAGATCCACTGTCTCTTTTGGGTATTTAATTTATGATTTATAATGTGTTATATTGCCAATATTAGGGCTTTTTTGTTTATTGTCAATTATATGAATATATAAATGTAATCATGCCTTTCAAACTATTTCTATTTTTGGTACAATTTAGATGACTGTAATTTTAATATTTGGTTTACTTTGGATTGGTTAAAATGGCATGATTATAAGGCCAAATAACTGACTTGTGTTAAAAATTGACTAAATTACTTATTTTACTTATTGGGAGTATAAGGATGGACAAATGTGATTTAGTTTACTTGTTGGGAGTATAAGGATGGACAAATGTGATTTAGTCTAATGGCATGTGGGAGGTAAAAATTTATCTGAAATGCTATAGTGTGTGAGTTGAAGCCAATTATAAAATATTTTATATTAAAATTATTGATATAAAAATGTGTTGGGTGGCTGTAACCCAACTATGGTTGAGTTAAATTATTTAAAAAAAAATTTGGTGTGTTACAGAAAATATACTTTATAAAATTAAAATATTAAAAAAAATTTTATATAAAATTAATGGATAAAATGTATACTTTAGCTAATAAATTAATATTAGCAAAAAAAATGTAGGGACTTGAGTCATTTATTTGTAGATTTAAACTCATTTGTTTAAAAGGATTCATTCATCTTTATAAAATGGCATATTAATTTAAGATTAAATTATAAATAATTTTTAGATAATTTAAAGATTTTATTAAAAAAATTATTCTGTTAAAATTTTATAATAAGTTGAAATTATTTTATTTAATTATAATAATAAAAATATTATTAATTATTTCTTTTTATTTTTATGT